TCGTTCTATTGTTACACTCACTTACTCAACAGGACAACATTATGGCTTTACCTCCATAGGAGGCAGTTGCCATAAAACGAGCCTTTGAGCACTGAAGCGATTTTCGCTCGGAAGAAGATTATATTTTCAATATTTCGAAAAACCAAGGTGGTTTCGATTACTGTTAGACACAGACAGAACGCAAGAACGCTTTTATTCTCAAATACCGTGGCATCGGCCGCTCTCTCGTCTTTGGCACAGTTGGTACCAAACGCAGGTAACTGAAAACAATAAGATTTTGTGAAGAATCAGTTGATTCTTAAAAGAAAAATTAAATCTACTAATCCAGTCAATTTACAGGCATCTCACTCAAATAATCAAGTGGAAAAGGCTCATACACGCCTCAGGTCTTGAAGGGAAACCAGGGGACAATTTTTCTAGCTACCAACCTAAGTGGGAGAGATGCAAGTCCTAAGCGTTTTCAAGTCGGCTAATTTATTCACCCTTTCTAATAAAGTTGAGTCTAATAACGCAGTAAGGAGCAGTTCATGGAGCTATATATCACAGTCCAATACAGGACGTCAAATGAACGCAACGATGAAAAAATATCGAAGTAAAAGATTGATCAATCAAACATTTATCTTCGAAACACATTGATAAATACAGAAATGCTTTTTGCCGGCGGGCGTTCATCGGCAGAAATGAAAGAGTGTGCAGGTCGGCCTAAGACTACAAATGGCGAGATATCCTATCGATTACATTCCTAGTTCATTTGCTGTAGCTGACCAGTCTCCAAGCTAACCGTCGGGAATCTCCACCTTAATTCTCTTCAAGTGAGGTGAAAGTATTTACGACGTACTAAAAGAGCTGTTTATAGTGAAAGCAGCAAATAAATGGCTCAAGATGAGCACTTTGAAAGTCTGGAGATTTTTTACTCAAAAAGCTACCTCCAGAGTGGACGACTTGCTCGCCCCTTCGATAATCTCTTGAAACTCCTTTTAAACTGCTTTTTTAACTCCCTGAGTTGTACCTGGATTGGGCATGCACGTATTTGGTTGCAAAACACCCTTTCTGGCATATTGTTTTAAATTTATCAGAGAGCTTGATATGAAGAATGAACAAAAGGGTAAGTTTCTAAAGAAACTGTGGTGCTGCGTGGGTGGGGGTGACAAGGTAATTTGGTTTTATCGACTAAGTTGATAATGTAAACTGGCCACCGTAAAAAGTTTAAAAGCTGACGTTTCGAGCGTTAGCGCTTCGCTCTGACGAAGAGCTAAGGCTTGAAACGTCAGCTTTAAACTTTTTACGGTGGCCAATTTACATTATCAACTTAATTGATAAAACGAAATTAGCTTGATAAGAAGAGCGAGAAAAAGAAGAATACTGTTTTCATACTTCCGCACTTTTTTAAGGGCGGCTTGCGCGCAATTGATCTCCTATCAAAACAGCAATTATCTTCAAAGGCCAAGTTAAGTAAAGCAACCCGTCTGTAAGTCCAGCCAGTTTAAGAGCTTAGAGAAGTTATTACTCTAATCCAGTACGAATCTCTTATGAGTTATCGACACTTTGGTTCACATAGGTTGTCCGACAACCACTTGGCCTATTTGCTTTACAATAAAATTACGTTTAAAACGGGTACATATAAGCCGGAGTGTACAATGAGTTATATCCTTTTCTAAGCGTCCTTGTGACATGTATTCACCGATTCGCTTCCTCGTTTCATTATTTCATACACGTGGCTCTCTGCCATTATAAACCCCGGCCAGAAAATGTAAGCTCCTCACTGAATGCCGAAAATATAGAGTGCGTTCACTGCAGAATTCGTCATTGGTTATATCCTAAAAATTAACGTTCTTTAGTAACTCTTTAATGTTGAAGATCTAAGATTTTCATCCGATTGAGCCAAATAACGTACTTGCCATTTTCCTTGACCGATCAGGAAGATCAAATCGAATCAAATCAATACCAAATCAATACCAAATCAATACCGAATCAAATCAATACCAAAGGTAATCAATACCAAACAATACTCTGATATAGGTCTAAATCACATTTCGTTTCTTAATGGGGTGTTAATGAAGGTGTACCAATATTTTACGTCATCATTAATTTCGTAATACTTATCTACATTTGTTTTCACCAGCGACAACCGAGACAACAGTTTTACTGCAAACCACTTCAAGTGTTGTTCAACATACCCCAGTATCGCCTCTACCAGAACTGACCTCGTTTGCAACAGTTACACTTTCTTCAAAAAGTGATATCAGTACTTCCTCAACAAGCAGCGTGGTTGCTGACTTGTCAGTCATTGCAAACCTTCTGCCAAACACAGGTGACACTTATTCAGTAGTTCTTCAGTTTACTGCTCTATTCTTCTTGTAAGTGCATCATAATTAATTGGTGTTTTTTTTCCTGCCTGAGCGAGGAAAAAGAAAAAATGTGGGTGAGGTGAATTTTGAAAGTTACTCACTCAGCTATCTCGTATTTTTTCTTTCTGACCAAGCATTGAGAGTTTTCAAGAATTTGTTCGATTGACAGTGTGAGCAAAACGTATTTATATGTGTTTTGCCCGACCTCAGTGAAGGGAATATGATCCAAGTTTCAGATCACAAGAAATTGCCACATGTTTAAGATATTGTTTGATATGAATTATCACTTTGTAGTAAATGAGACAGAACAAATGACAAAAAAAGATGCTAAACTGCTACCTCATACCCTCGTCTCCCTTCAAACGCGAGATGGTCTATTATTTCTAAAGTTTACATTTCTACCTAGTAAATTTCCAAAGGTGTTATAGCCTTCCTCATTCAGAAATATAGTAATCCAGGAAAGGAGATGAGTGAGTGCGAAATGTGCTCTTAGTTGTCATTAAGTCTCTTTCAACGAAACAGCTATAACTGTTCCATATGTTTCACCAAGCTGACGAGCATATCTTTATGAAAATAGGTAACATCCCATTTGAGGTACGGAAAGGGGCAATGTTCTTATTCAGTCTCTGTCATAGATATTGCGCCAAAACATTGAACGAACCTATTTCAGTGTTCATTATTTTACAGTGTAACAGTCACTTTTTTTTATACCGTACATCTTCACCCTTAAACTCAGCTATTACCTGGTAACTAATTTTATATATGTCGTAACCTCAGAATCCAAATGGTCTCGTTGGAGTCCTTGGAGTGACTGCACCCAAACATGTGGCAGCGGTACACGACATCGAAACAGAACATGCGTGGCCATCAATGATAAAGCAGTCTTTGCTCCAATTTCGTGTGCTGGTAAATCTAACCAGATGAAATCATGCGCAGAATGGAAATGTCCAGGTAGGCATCTTTCCACAAGAATTGTCCGGCAGTCATGCCTAGTTATGATTGTTTGTTAGAGAGTGCTAAAAGCACTTGTTGTGGGCTAAAGTAACATACATTTATGACAGACTGAACGGAATCATAATCAGATGAGCAGATAGTCGAAGAAGAGCTGCGATGAACAGAAAGTGTTTTTTTCTCTAAATTCGACAAGGTCTTTCCCAGAGCAGACAGCTGTATTCGCATGTCCAACTTTCAGATATCCGTCTAGTGAGACATATATTATGAAATATTGCGTTGCCAATCATATAGCAAGGTATAGTAAGTCAGAAAAAATAGATTTTATCACCAAAAAGAATCCTGATAAGAACTGTTCAATACCTAACCTGGCTGGCCATATGATGATTATGTTGTAGAGTATTTTAAAGGATTGCTGTTTTGAGTATTTTTAGGTTTACCTTTTGTTTTGTTAGGGCTCGCTTTTTGCGTCGACGTGTTTTTAATGGTAGTTCTTTTGCCTTGACCTTATGTTTCTAGTATGTACTTAAACTATTCTTAGTCCACAGATTTTTCTTGTTACCTTGTTAGACTTGATAATCGCTTGTTATGGTTGGGAATGGTTAGTTGCATAGGTGGTCATGTTTGAGTTGGTAAAACTGACCTTGAGTTTTACCCACACTGAAGATCTTGTTTGTGCGCGTGATTTTCATGCGCATCTCGATCATTGGCGTTTAATTGGTTCCTTGGTGCTCGCCAAGTGCTTCGGAGCGAGCCACCCAATTTCCCCCTTTGCAAAACAACGAATGCACTATGGAAACTCCCACGGTCAGCTAACCCAAACATGTCTGTGAAA